TGTGACTTGGGGAAGGGGGGCATTTTGCACTTTCATTAGTTCCTTTGGCTAGTTCATGTGAGGCTAAGAGGTCTCTTTCTGATGGAACCTGTAAACTCTTGTGATGCTTCACAATGGTACATGTAAGCAGCCTTGACTACAGGGTTTACAGATCTTCACAAGTTGGCCTGCACAGGACGCCGTATGGTGCGCCACCAAGTCGAACTGCGCCACATTCCCGTCATATTGAAGAGCCTTGACGGAACTTTGCGAAGGTGCCAAGGAATGAACCACAGCCCTATCAAGTCAAGCACTCGGGGTGCAATTAGGAGAACCAGAATTGGAAGAGGATATCAGCCGATTGTGGTGACAAATTCCTCCAACATCTGAGTCACACCTCATCGGTCTCAAGCACGCTGTCACCCAATTACCCATGTGGAAAGAGAGCAATCTCCAAAGAGCATCGTCAGTCAAAAATCATCCATTTCTCATCCATCATCGCTAGCTATTGCCTAGACGACGTCAACGCCTCTAGCGGCTATCGCCTTCGTCATCCCACGCTGCTCCCCTGCTGTCTCGTGTTGTCTTCAGCGTAATTTAATATTGCCTAGCAATATGTGCAATAGGCACGCGTGTGTCCAGTCGTCAAGTATTTTGGCCGTTCGCGACAGCCGGCCTTCCATGAGCCTTCCATGAACAGCCCATGAAGTGACCCTTCAACGCGTTGCCAACACTTAACAAGAGCCCTCAGGCATGGATTCAGCTGGAAAGATTGCTATTGCACTGGGAATGGGAATCGCCCTTTCGGATTCGGAGAGCACGTTTATTGGGTTCTAAGAGGAAATTACCAGCACTAAAGGAATTAATGAGACGGAGGAATCCTTTGATGAACATGGATGTGTGGGCAAGTCTGCCAAGCTCGTTTGTGAGAGGTTCAAGAAAAAAAAGGTAAAAAAAACTAGAAGAGACAGCTCGTATGGGCTCAGAGCTAGGCTTGGGAAGAGCCTAGTGGACAACTCTTCAATGCTAATGAGGGATACCCTCGAGGCACTCCGGATTCGGGTCAGCAACCCAAAAATGGCCAGCAGGAAAGAATCCCTTGAAGTAACGCGGAAGCTAGGATCCTATTAGTGGCCTTCCAAAGGTAAACCTGAATGTGGATCGCCCGTTTAGTTCTGCTGCCGCTGCCGGGTGGTCTCGAGGTCGCACTCTTTCACTGCGAGGGGCGTTCTCGTGGAATTTTCAAAAATCTGTATTGATCTCAAACTTTAGTATGATCGTAGAAGCGTTTGTTCTGATAGTCACAAGTTTGCTGCCGATATGTATGGGATGACGTAGTAGCAGTGCAAGGTGCTGTTCGGCGACGAGGGGGGGGGCATTTTGCACTTTCGCTGCTCCAGTAGTTTCGATTAACGTCTCATTAAGCGAAACCGTGGAAGCTCCTGTGAAGCGCTGGAGCAAGCATGACGAGCTACCACAAACCTGTTACAACTCATGATAATAAGCGCCTCTAGGCTAGACACGTCGATGGGTAAGTAAGCAAAAGTGCAGTCGCCTCCCCCCCCCCGTCGTCTAACTGCGCCGGAGCCCAATAAGGAAGCTTGAGCATGAGCTGGAACCAATGATGATTAGGTAGAAGTCACTTCATGGATTGGTTTGAAATAGTTAGCGGTGAATATTTCGGATAAGAGAAGAGCGAATGGAATGAAACGCCCAACAATCCAGATGTTTGTTTTCGGCCTTCCTTACGCGACTTCGTTCAA